TTGCCCACCCAGGTAATACATATGTCTCACACTTGCTGTCTCTCTCCAATGCACATCCAAATTACCTCAGAATTACTGAGCAAGTTCATTCTCTCCACCCAGCCCTATAACCTCCACTCACTTTTCTAATGGCTTCCTGCTGACTAATCCACCCTAAAAAGGATAATATGAGAACAGAGAACAAAAAACATCACTTTTTCACTTGCTGGACAGGTAAAAATCACAAAATGCTAGTGAGTTTGAATGCATCTGCTTGACCTAAACTGCAAATTATTCTGAACCTAGTAACCAGTTTCGTACACACAATGCACAGTCACTGAAATATGCTCATACACAACATGCAGTCAGCTTTGTATGACTCATATAAGCCAAATCTTTATTGATTTTCACAAAGACAACAAAGCTAAGATCGTATTCCTTATACCATTTCAGAACAGAAGCATGTCCACCTTTTAGTCAGTGACTATGGAATCTGAATGCTTTGCACTCTCAGTGAAGATGGTTTAATGCACAAAGAAATTTTTTTTTAAAATGATGGGAAAAGTCAGCTGGAGAAACACTTTTGCCAAGGTGAAGTTCTCAGTTCCAGAACTCTTGCCATGAAAGAACATTCTGACCCAGAATGTAGCCCCTGACATTTACTAGAAACCCCTCTAATTCTGCCTGAACTACTTCTGAGACAGTGTCATTGCAGTACTTACTGAACCATGTGAGCCTCAGCTAAAAATTAAATACTTTTAAAAATTCTACCTTTTGTTAGAGCAATATAAATCCATATGAGAATAAAATCAGTGAAGCTACTGTTTTCTTACATCAGAGGTTCAGATTATGCAGATCATGCTACCCAATGCTAGAACATATATTTCATGAGTATTTTTAACTGTATTGTTATGCAGCTACAAGAACAATGACAGAGAATGAACCTTTCTCCTACCACTATGTATTTCATATGTATTACTTTTCAACTGCATTGCTGGTATAGGTATGCAAAGAAAAATAAAACAGACAGCTCTGATCAGTGATTGTTTTATTTTGTCAATCATGGGGGAAGCTTCAGAAGGAAGAAAACGTTTTAAGAAGGAAGCAACACTATAGTCTTTTCATTTTTACTTCAGAAAAAATGCTGGCAACATACTCAACACAGTTCTCTGGAAATCCTTAACTGTTGCCCATCATTATTCAGCATAAGCACCACTAAAAAAAGGCACTTTTAAGCATTTTATTTTGTCTTATTTGTTCTTTATTTGCAAAATGCCCTGACACAGGATGCATAAACATCAAAAGAAATGATGGCAGGTATTGATCCAGTTATATGGATTCAAGTTAACATGGAGTAGCTCAAATTGACACTTCACAATACAAGTGCATAAACAGGGCAAAACCACAAAGTCACAGTTTACAGTTTTCAAACAAGCTGTTTGTACCATTATTAAGCTATAACTTTCTCTAACAAGTCTTTCCCATGAAATGTGTTATAAGTAGCATAAGAAATACCTTCCTTCAAGTTTTATTTACTGTCCAAGTCCATTATGCTGCTCAAAACATACAGCTTTCCATATGAATTTAGGGTGATTTCAGCCATTTTAATCAGTGCTGGGGAAGGACATCATCTGATTTAATCTGTGATAAACCCTTCATTTATGGCACAGCAGCACTGAATTTTAACCCAAACCAGGTGAGCTCTATTGTATTTTTAGATACAGAAATCAGCCTCCAAATGAACTCAAGAGGTGTGTGCTTGCATCCAAGGGCAGGTTTTGGCTTTGAGACATTTTCAGTCCAAATCAGATAAAGCTGGTTTTCTATGACTTCAGCAGTTTGAAAGAAGAATTATGTCATCTTCCTGCTACAATTAGACATTTTATTTGTATCACAAGTAGAGAGTAAACTCTGAGCAATCAGTAATTAACAAATAATTGACTTACAAATTGAAGAGTCAAGCCTTCTTGTAAACTACAAACACCTCTTTACCTTTATTTAGTTAATTGTAATTAAAGTGACCTTTTGCTTATGCTGTGGTAAAGTTAGGGCCAAAGTTAAAACAGCAGCAGGAAGCTTTTTGGAACCGTAAGAAACAGTTTTAATTTCATTTATTTTTAGTAAAGAGACTAACTAGCCCTCCAAACATGAACAAATCATATGAACTTCTGCAGGTAAGTTGGCAAATCATGATAAAAACATTGCTATGGTTGGAACTACTGAAATGATTACTTTCAAAGGCTCATTTTGCTAAATCATAGCCATCATTCACTGAGGCAATCAGTGGCTCTTATTATACTCATTAAGCCCTTTCTTAGAATCAGAAATTCAGACTTTGGCCTCATGTAGCTTTGGCACTACCAGATGTTCACATAAAATCCCCAGGACTCATTTGCTTATTGTTTGTTTAGGACTCTTTCTCTCATCTCACATTTCAACATGGTGTAGCTACAATTTTTTTCTCCTCAAACTTTCAAAAACAATTCAGCCTCAGGCAAAGCACACACACACAGCTTCAGGCTGGTAGGAGAAAGTGAAAGTTAGGAGTGAGTCACACCAGAGATGTGTATGACTGACTGGAGGGCTCTGGCTGTGGTTCTGCATCAAGGTTCCCAAGTGCTTTTCCTCTGTAGATCTCATAAAAGTTCACAGATGTTAAAAACAATTAGTCATGCTGAAGGACTTGAAACATGTTAAATGGATGTTAAACGCTTTTCTCAGACCTCATAGCAGCATTACAGAGTTGAAGCTAGGCCATATGTAATCAAGTGCCAGACAATTTTCTCCATCATGTCATTGCCCCTCAATACACTGCTGATGATTAGTTTCGATCCATGTAAATATTGTGCAGCATGCAAGGAGTGTACATCCAAGTCTCCTGAAATCCATTTAATGTTATACTTAAATAAATAACTACACTTGTGAATGCAGTAGGCAAATGCTGACATGAACATTAGTAGAATAGCCTTCTTGTTTCCTTCTAGGTGAAACAAAATTCACCAAAGTCACTTTCTTTCTTCACGCCCCTCACTCTACTTTCCTTTCTCCACTCCCCTCTTTCTTCATTGCACCAGTTTCATACTTCTTACGCTTTGCTTCAATACCCTTACTACCATATAAGTTCTTACAAGTTCAGTGGTGGTATTTTGCCCTCACATTTCTAAAAGCGCCAGTCCAAAATGCCTTTGTCTTAGCTGCAGCCATCTCTCTGCTTTGTCTCTAGTTGCCCCATGCTTTAAATATCCACTTTAAACTGTGCTTCTCTTAGGCTAAACAAGAAGGTTGTGACCAGTATGCTCTTAAAATCCCTCTTCTAGACATCTGTTTTGGAGTACGAAATAAAACAGTTATCAACAGTGGTGTAGAGACTCCAGACTGGAGAGAAGCTCTCTTCTTCAAACTTGAACTTACTCCTCTTTTCTTCTTTTCCTTTTAGCTGATTTTCATTCCGTCAAATTACAAGGAAAGATTCATACTGTCTACAGGCAGCATCTACACAGTTTGTGTTTCTGCCTTACTGTGAATAGTATTTCTAACCACTGGAAACAGTTAACTTCCCATGGAGCTGCAGACATGAGGAAAGGAGAGAGAAGTACCTGAGTCACTTCTGCAGGTACTTAATAGCTGGGTCAGATATCCTCTGACTGGATCTGTTACACTGTGCCTAAGGATTTACATTCAGCAAAGGTCTGTGACAGCACTCTGCCTAAAGTACTCTTTGGTGTATAATAACAGAGACCCTGTGAGGATGAAATAACACAGAGCCCTTTACAGATGTTCTTCCTGCTAGCTGCTCCTTCCATATGAGCAGTTTACCCAGGCATTGCATCCTGCAGATTATTATTTTCATGAGCCTGCTCCCCTGGGAAAAAAAAAAAAGGCAACATCTTTTCATGTTATTTTCTTTCTTACTCAGCACCGGATCCAGGCTCTTCCCTATGCTAAAGGAAAGGTTATAATAACAAGGGCTCACAGTGCTTTGAGTCTTCATTAAAACATACAAGGGGATGTGTCAGCTTCAGGGCAGACATGGAAGATGCAAACACAACATTGGACTGTTTTGTGTTTATGTATACCTAGGCAGGCTTTCCTGAAGGGTTTGGAAGTCTCTCTCATACGCAAACAAAGACAGCTTATTGGTTACAAATATTAACCTCAAAAAAATTAGTTACCTGTACAGCTTTTCACACTTGTATAAAGCAGATATTGCTTTCCATAACAACTTCTTCTGAAATGAAAGTGAGAAGAGGTCATGCCTTCCTGTTTTCAACAATATTTGTAATATGTTGGCTGCTCTGTAAACATAGTTTATTCACCGGTATGTCAAAAAAGGAAAAAGAGGAAAAGACAATCTTTTGTTAAAATGGGAAAAGCCCAACTGTCAGCCCCTAAGGCATCCATCTCTAGCAATGCCATGGTTTAAGCCCAGCCAGTAACTCAAAGCCACGCAGCCGCTCACTCACTCCCCCTATTCTCCCTCCCTGCTCCTGGAGGGATGGGGAGGAGAATCAAAAGAATGTAATTCCCACAGGTTGTGATAAGAACACTCCAGTAACTAAGGTGTAACACAAACCACTGCTGCTGCCACCAATGATAATGATAAGGGAAATAACAAGGGGAGAGAATACAACCACTCACCACCTGCCGACCGATACCCAGCCTGACCTGAGCAGCGATTTAGCCCTTCCGGGTAACTCCCCCCAGTTTATATACTGGGCATGACGTGCTGTGGGAATACCTCTTTGGCTAGTTTGAGTCAGGTTTCCTGTCTGTGCTTCCTCCTGGCTTCCCCTCCTCCCTGGCAGAGCATGAGACTCAGAAAGTCCTTGATCAGACTAATCATTACTTAGCAACAACTAAAAACATCGGTGTTATCAGCACTGTTCCCAGGCTGAAAGTCAAAAACACAGCACGGCACCAAGTAGGACAAAAATGGCTGCTACTGCTGAACCCAGGATAAGCATCTATCCTCCAAAGCAAGAGTATCACATTTATGTATATATCACTGATTATAATCAGACTAATATTTAAACAAGTATTTTATCTAAAGGCCTGAACATAGAGAGGAGATGGAGATAACATCATTTTACTAGTCCAATAACTTTTACAGGCAGGACAGCTGAAACACAAAGACACCCATTTCACTCTTGCTCATGGAAGTCAGAGGAAGTGCCTCAATGAGGTGGAAGTCTCCTGGTTTTCCATCCTCATGAGACTTTATCAGTTCTGTTTTTCCTCTTTCTCAGATGTTTTGATCCACTCTTCTGTGCTCATCCTTGAGGAAAAATACAGAGAAGCAGGTAAGGTAGATGGTAAGGCTTGGTTTAATTAATCCTTGATGCCAAAAGATGTCTCAGTAGTAGGAGAAACTTCAGACAGAGGAGAAACAGGGAAACATGGAAATTACTAACTTGGAAATTTGAGATCTAGTGGATCTTTATTCAGTGCAACAAAATTTAAAAAATACTGTAATATAGCAGCAACTGTTCTGTGCTGTTCAAGTATTATTTTACATTCAAAGTACTGATTAGAGGGCTTTTTTCCCCCTTGGTCATATGAAGACACTCATTCGGCAAGAGTGTCAGGAAACGAATATAAATGTTTTTGTGAGCAAAAACCTGTTTCAACTCCCATGATTACAATTTAACACAGCTGCACCCCAAGAGAACAATAGTAAGATTTATTTCTTTTATAAGTCTCAATTTTATAAAGAACAAAACATTCATGTTAAAGAAAGCTGTGAGCACAAGAACTGTCTGGAAGGATGTGAAGACAAAAGAGAGGAAGCAAAAGCACAAGAGAGCAGGGATTCATATGTACTTATGAAAGAGGAAATAAACATGTTTCCATCTAACACTTAACTCATTTATTTTAGGTACTTAAAGAAAATGAATCATAAACTCTTCATCATTCTAAGCAGAAAAACTGCGTAAAATGTAAGGCCTATCTTACATGCTTGCTATAGGCGCTTACTAGTTGTGTGAAAAGCATAAAATGTGGGAACCCAGGCAGAGGGTCTGCTTGTGTTTTATGGGCAAAACCAGGTCCCAGTGGTGATTTTATCATCTTCTGATAGTTTGCCACAGCTCCCTTTCATCTCATTTTTAAATGTGTTTTGCTGTTGCCACAGGATGAGCAACTTTGAATCTCTTATCTGCTCAGGTTGTGCTGGCTGCATGTATGTGGGGCAGGTACATGTGCCTTGGCACCTCACCTTGCCCCAGGGAGATGAGTGTACGCCCAGATCAGCCACTAAGGGTGCAGAAGTGGGGGTCAAGGATGCTAGGATGTATTTTGTGTCTTGCCAGTCAGTACCTGGGGAAAGGCTCAGCAATTCTCTTAGTCTCTTCCACCTTTAGTGTACAACTTTCTATATAAATCTTTTCTGAATCAGTGGACTTCCTCTTACTGCAGGTGTCTCCCTAAAATGAGCCTCCTTCCCATGGTGTTACCAGTCTGATTAAGAAGGGCTGCTGTTCCCTACCAGTGACCCAGCACTCAGATCCCCATCATCAACATGCTGCCTTTGCAGCCAACCCAGAAAGGTCCCCATGCCTGGGGAGGAGATTAACCGATGGGAAATCTCATTCAATGCAGTGACTGTGTCAAGTCTGCAAGAAGCATCCTACCCCAGTTTGCTGTTTTGCAGCTAAGACAAGCAAGTCTGCTTCTCAGCTGAGAAAACAGAACAGCCATTCATGGGTATTATGAAAAATGAAAATTGAGGAAACAGAAACAATAAAAAGCAAAGCCTGGCCATCAGAAACAACCACTAAGCAGACTACAGCCTATGAAGAGAGATCTTTCCTGCATTTATTTCACTAATACATAACCAAATTTTGTATGTTTAAGTTGCTTCCACTAGTCTGAAAAGTTATTGTTTTGGGGGAATGGGAGAAATTATGTCATTTTATGAGAAAGACATAAAAAGAAATGCTCAGCTACTTTCTAAATACTGCATTAGAAATGAAAACTTATTCCAGCTCCTTTAATTTGGTAAATGCTTTTTTCCAAAGTGTATGGCGTTTCTTCATCACCTGTCCTGAACTACCAGTATCATGCTTCTCTCTGACAATGGTTTCTGTATGTCAGTTCAGAGACATCAACATTCAAAAGTGAAAAAAATTATACATTTTAACAGAGTGCTCAGTCAGGAAATTCAAGTTTTATCTCCAAATCTGCTGCGGATATAAATCCTTTTAGCAAATCCTTCGACCCTTCCGTGTTTCAGCTTCCCTGACTGTAAACAGAGAATCAGCTATTTTTAAATTGCTGTGGGAAGCCAAGATGTATTCTTCTGTGTACAAAACCAAAATACCGGTTCTGAAATGTGATCAGCTATCACTCTCTGTTGTTAGAGGCTACATATTCTGATTTGCAAGACACAAATATCTGTGTGCTGCTGTTTAGATGTAAAATTAGAAGTATGATAATTCCACGTTAGTTTTTATATAAGGTATATGAAAAAAAATTCTAAAGGAAGGTAGAGCATTTGAAAGCACATGCTAGCCATACTGTTCTTCCTAATGGTATGTTTCTGCCATAATTCAAAATGATAAAAAGGACATTAACTTAAGAATGAGTTTGGTCCAAAACTTAGACCAGTCTATTCCTAATGGATCCTGTATCAAACACAGTATCCAGATATTCTTGTTTGGAGTGGATGTTTTCCATTCCTTTGCATATAGGGGCACCAATAAATATGATGCAATATTTTAGACCAACAGTTGCATGAGCTAAGGATGCATCACTAACACTGGCTACTAAATGCGCACATCTGTTTTGAAAGGTCAGTGCAAGCATCATCCACTTACATAGTGAAAAAGGGTGTCTCTGCTATCTCCCTGAGAACATCCTTTTCCTGAACCAAGACTGTCCCTCAGACTTTAAGTTGAAGAGAGGAGAGAGACAGAGTTTCCTCCACCGTGGTCATGCCACATGGAGCCGGACAGAGTCCCCTTCAGTGTGGCCCTCATGGAGACATTAGCAAGGAAATCCAACATCAGTTTCACCCAAACAGCATGACAGAGCATGCCAGGAGGGATATCTGTAGCTGCCTCTCAGTCAGTAAGATGGCAGCTCTGGGTGCAAAAATTCTGGAGTATTTTCTGTAAGGGAATATTCTTCTTGCTGGGAATACCCTTTATTTAGCTACCCAGCTCTCATAGCTTTTACTGAGTGAGAAATCGCACACCATTTATTCTGTGGGATTTGCAAACCCAAAATGAAACTCAGAGTTTAAACAACCAAAAAGGTCAAAAGCTGCCTTAAAAAAAAAGAAAAAAGGTCAGAGAGAAAAACCAAAAATTGGTTCAGAATTCTATCTTACCAGTGGAAGATGTCATACTTTTACTATTTCTAGACCACTCAGAAAAGCACCTTTGTTCCCTTATCTCCCGTCTTTCCAATTTAGATATCTACATATTTCTGGCAGAAATCACCTTCAAAGTAGAGGAAGGAAGGAACAGAGAAGGAAATTTCTCACACCCTACATATGCTGCATGAGCAACCAACTTTGTCTTCCCAGTAATTCCCAGTTTGCATCACTATCCATAGTTTTCAGCTGCCACCGCAGTTTTAAAGTATTTGTGCTGATTTACAATTTTAGAACCTGAAATTGCCCTAATTTCTCCTCTTATGGGTGCAGCTACCAGCTCCAATGGTAGGATTGCTGGTAGTAACAACCACAACTTGACTTGACTGCCAGCAGCCAGCCTTTGGGGGTACTGGTAAACACCCAATAGGAAAGATTACTCCATTCCTTTGCAGAGTTAAAAACAGACCAGCTACTATATGAGCCATTGTCCTCCTGCTTGCTGGAAGGATTACTCTGAGAGGTGCCAAATATAAGCTTTTTTCAACAAAAAGATGCTTGATATCACATTATTTGGTTATTACAAGTTTGTGTTAGGCACCCCTTACCCAGAATACAGACTATCAAAGCAAGTAGGATGAAGACCCTCAGTTTGCCATGGTGCCATTTGGAGGACAGGTATCTGCTGGCAGAGAGGCAAAGTGCTGTACAGGAAGAAGTTGCAAGAAGGAGCAAGAAGTGGAAGATAGATGATGGTACACCTCATGAGGAAAGAGGGAAATCATGAGCCTTTGAGATGGTCAAGAGACATTTTTTGTGTCTGTCTCAAAGCAACTCCAAAGATAGAAGGAACTGAGGGAGGCTGAGAGCCTGTTCATGGTGAGTAGTGTCTTGTTGCTTGGGCAAAGCGCAGGGAGCAGCTCATGGGATTGTGTTCCACCAAGGTGGGGAATGTTTTTCCTGTGTTGCCTGAGGTCACAAAGATCAACTGCCATGGGAGCAAGCTGCTTGAAGACAGCATGACAGACGCTGCGGCTGCACCACACTGATGCTGCACCCATTGGGGCACAAAGTTAAACTTGGCCTGGGGGCTTACCAGATAGCCCTACCATCATCTGGAGAGGTCCAGAGCAGCTCACAATGCTTGTGTAAGCATGGAAATGAGTCTCTGCCTGTGGGAGGATTTGGGGAGAACCTGGCCCTATAAAAAGGCAAACTGTCCTTCAGCCACAAGGCGTGTGTCCCTCCACCTCTGATCCCAGTGAGGCTCACTGACTGCAAGGACTGCAACTGCAAGGACTGCAGCTTGCTGACCGAGAGGGCGTTGCTGGATCCACGTTGTGGTTATCATATTTCTTTGTTTTCTCTCCTTTCTTTTCTTTCTCCTTTCTCCCACTGCTTTGTATCTTTTGTAAGAATAAGAATTTACCAAGACTTGTTGCTCTGGACAGTTTAGGGAAGTTAACAGCAAAATTAATCTCCAGGGGGCCTATGGTTTCTCCTGCAAACCAGGCAGAGTGTGGTAAACATTCATCACCAGCAGGGCGGGATGGCACACTCTTCCTAAGCAAAATGTCCCACAGGGCCAAACCAAAGATGTTCCCTCAGGAGTACTCCAATCTATGTATTGGATTGGCTAAGTGTGAGCATGGTACAAGAAACACAGCCCCTGAAATTCAGTTTTTCTGCTGCTCACACACCAGAAACACTGTGGTCAGGAGAGTCACATTCTAATTTCGTTTACGGGGAATCACTTATAAACTATTGCCAGCCAGCTCACAGCTGTGCTGCTCCACACATCCAAGTAACTCGGAGTCATGACAGCTTGGACAAATAAACAAGTAACAGTTGAGGAGAGAAATCAAAGCCACACTGGAGTAATGAAAGCCATGTTTCTTACTGTTTTTCATACAAATCATTAGATGCTGAACTCATCTGCCTGAAAAAGGGAAAAATACTTTTTTTTCTCAAGGGCTTGGATTAATTTTTGTGTAGTTTGCTAATTATGCTTCTTTTAGTTTTTCTTTGGATTTCTTTTAATTGTTTGTTATAAGCAGAAAGTAAAGAAAATATCTTAATTTTGCAGGATATTTTCCTTTAAAGTCAAAGGAGCTAATGGCACTTTGCAGTAGATACTTGCATCATCGTTTTTCCCTAGGACATTTCTTTCAATCAGCACTGCTTTCTTTCACAATGTTTTTACTTCCCTCCTTGGGTGGTTTTGAGATTGCAACAGCTGAAGAAACCCTTCCTTCAAAAATCCATTTTGACAAGAAATATGTAGGTATATTACTTCTGTGTTCTAATTTGGAAACTGCTTTTGAATCTGAGGTGCAAGAAACAACCCAAAGGTCAATTTAAAAAAATGTTTCTCCTAAACCAGGTCCAACCTGTTCAGGGAACCTTCTAAAACCATCAAGTCATTGCAAAGGCAGTAGTGTTAACAGCATAAAAAACAAGCACAGCTTCCCACATTCCTTTCCTACACAGGGATTGTTCTTCCAGTACCACTATCAGGGAAACAAAACTCAAGAATGCAGTATAGTTATTGACATATTTCTCATGGAAAATTAGCTACACAATTAGCATTCATACAATTAGAAACATACAGCTGTTGTGGTTTAGGCCCAGCTGGTAACTCAGAACCACGCAGCCGCTCACTCACTCCCCCCAAACCTTTTCCTCCCCTGTATCCTGGAGGGATGGGGAGGAGAATTGAAAGACTGTAACTCCCACAGGTTGAGATAAGAGCAGTCCAGTAACTAAGGTATAACACAAATCACTACTACTACCACCAATAATAATAATGATAAGAGAAATAACAAGGGGAGAGAATACAACTGCTCACCACCTCCGATCAATACCCAGCCCAACCTGATCAGCTATTTAGCCCTCCCAGGTAACTTCCCCCAGTTTATATACTGGGCATGATGTGCTATGGTATGGAATACCTCTTTGGCTAGTCTGGGTCAGGCGCCCCATCTCTGCTTCCTCCCGGCTTCCCCTCCTCCCTGGCAGAGCATGTGATTCAGAAAGTCCTTGGTCAGAGTAATCATTACTTAGCAACAGCTAAAAACATCGGTGTTATCAGCACTGTTCCCAAGCTGAAAGTCAAAACCACAGCACTGCACCAGCTACTAAGAAGGAGAAAAATGACTGCTACTGCTGAACCCAGGGCAGTATCTACCCCTTATTCCATACCATTCACGTCATGCTCAGATCCCACATTTTTCAATAGACCATCACTATTGTCTCATATATGTATGTATATGTATATATAAATGCACATACACACATGCAAAGAGAGAGAGATCATTCCTTAGTGCATGGAAAAATCCCTATAAAGCTGCTGGGTTCATCCAGCCCATGATGTTGGGCTCCATCTCTTGTAACAGTCTTTCAGAGCAGGAGAGACAGTGTGCAGTGTTGGACTGTTGCCTGCTGATGACACTGCGGAACTCGTCTGGTCACTGCTGAGCTTGTCTGGTTTCATCAGTCATTGTCGGGATGATGGTCATAGGGAAGTCAGGGCCAGTCACTGGTGACCTGAAGACATCTAGTTGATGGGCTATAAAGGTGTTACATAGCAGGAAACAGCATACAATTGAGTTCATTAGCTGTTTTCCCCTTGAGGTATACAACAGACTTCCCCCATCTTCCCACATTACCCACCAAGTATATCCGGGTCCCTGAGCAAAAGGAATCCCACGAGTGGGTTTGCCTTTACCTGAAGCAGGAATAAGCCAGGCTGCCTTCCCCAGCAAACTCTTTGTGTGCACCACGGGAACTTTGTCCCCCTCTACAATACGTAAAAGTTCTGACTGGGCTGAGCCAGCCCTGTTGGCAGATCCTCTGGTGTTGACCAACCAGGTGGCCTTTGGTAAGTGTGTATCCCAACTTTTGAAAGTCCCACCACCCATTGCTCTCAGTGTTTTTAACAGCCCATTGTACCGTCCCATTTTCCCAGAGGCTGATGCATGGTAGGGGATGTGATATACCCGCTCAATGCCATGCTCTTTGGCCCAAGTGTCTATAAGGCTGTTCTGGAATTGGGTCACATTGTCTGACTCAATTCTCTCTGGAGTGCCGTGTTGCCACAAAATCTTTTTCTCAAGGCCCAGGATAGCATTCCAGGCAGTAGCATGGGGCACAGTGTATGTTTCCAGCCATCCGGTGGTTGCTTCCACCATGGTAAGGACATGGCGCTTGCCTTGGTGGATTGGTAGGAGTGTGATATAATCAGTGTGCCAGGCCTCCCCATATTTGTACTTCAGCCATCGTCCTCCACACCAAGGAGGCTTTAACCACTTGGCTTGCTTAATTGCAGCACGTTTCACACTCATGAATAACCTGGGCAATAGTGTCCATTGTTAAGTCCACCCCTCGGTCACGAGCCCATCTATATGTTGCATCTCTGCCCTGATGGCCTGACGTGTCATGGGCCCACCAGGCCAAAAATAATTCACCTTTATGTTGCCAATCTAAGTTCATCTGAGCCACTTCAATCTTAGCAACTTTATCCACTTGTTGGTTGTTCTGGTGTCCCTCGGTGCCCTAACTCTTGGGTACATGAGCATCTACATGGCGTGCCTTCACCACCAGGTTCTGCACACGGGCAGTGATATCTTGCCACAGTACAGCAGCCCAGATGGGTTTACCTCTGCGTTGCCAGTTGCTCTGCTTCCATTGCTGCAACCACCCCCACAGGGCATTTTATGCCATCCATGAATCAGTATAGAGATAAAGTACTGGCCACTTTTCTCGTTCAGCAATGTCCAGGGCCAGCTGGATGGCTTTCACCTCAGCAAACTGACTCGATTCACTCTCTCCTTCAGCAGTTTCTGCAACTTGTCGTTGAGGACTCTATACAGATGCCTTCCATCTCTGACACTTCCAAAGCACTGGAGGGACCCACTGGCCTAGATACTTGCCCATTCTGTCCCACACCCTGCCACTCATGACTGTCCACCCTCAGGGGAACTCTTTTGGTGGTCCTCCTATATCGTTGTCTAATACTAGACAGAACTCAAGCGAGATCCTGCTTAGCTTCCACAATCAGACAAGACTGGGTGTTCTCAGGGTGGTCACACCATAGGCAAAACATAGAGAGCATATGCAGCAAGATGGTTCTCAGCAAGAGAAGCAGAGTGCTTTCAAGGGCATTGAAAGGATATTCAGGATCTTTAAATCTTCCAGAATCTACTTGCACTGTAAATAATCCAGTAGGGGAGCAGAGAGTGTGAGGAAATGTCTCCTTCATAGGCTGACCACCCAAGGAGAGAGAAAAAGATGTATAATTGCTAAACACTTCAATTATATATCTCCCAAATTATAGAGGTGATGACCGCACTAAGAACGCAAGCCAGATCAGTTTCATGATCAATGAGTCTATTGTATTACAAGTCATTGCCATAAAGTACAGCAAAAATATAACCCTAGTCCAGGCCCCCCAGCCAGTAAACACTAAAACAGCAAATACTGGCTGTAAGTCAAGTATGACACGCTGAAACTCCGAGATCAAGAGCAACAACTTTGAGAGCCAATAAATCAGCATTGTGAGGAGTGACTATTAATCAGAAATAATGAATGCTTATCACAATTAGGATTGACACACTCTGGTCAGATCAGTCGTTATCTCAACCCTTCGTGCCCCACCTTGGGCGCCACAAGGGACTGTTGTGGTTAAAGCACAGCTGGCAACACAGAACCACGCAGCTGCTCACGCGCTCCCATTCTCTTTCTCCCCCAGCTCCCGTAGGGATGGGGAGTGGGGAGGAGAATTGAAAGAATGTAACTCCCACAGGTTGAGATAAGAACAGTCCAGTAACTAAGTTATAACACAAACCACTGCTGCTACCACCAATAATAATAATGATAAGGGAAATAACAAGGGGAGAGAATACGACCACTCACCACCCACCGACTGATACCCAACCTGACCCAGGAAGTGATCTAGCCCTTGCAGGTAACTTCCCCCAGTTTATATAGTGGGCATGACATGCTGTGGTATGGGATACCTCTTTGGCTAGTTTGGATCATGTGTCCTGTCTCTGCTTCCTTCACACAGGTTTTGCTTTGATGGGCAATTTTCACTAAAAGGGATTTATTGTCTGCATTTCCATTTGTGGTTGGAACAATTTAAATAATGGTTTTGTGACAGAAGAAAGGAGTCCAAATTTGGGGAAATAAATGTAATTTTATTCTGCATTTGGGGAAAAAGCAGCCACAGAACCCACTGAAAACTCAGTCACTTACCTGTAGGTTAATAAATGGTAGAAAAATTGTTGTGGCAATCAGTTCACCAGGGATACTACTGTTAAGCAGGTTAAAAGTTTGTTGCCTGTTTTGTGAAGGCTAGTTCATCGAATATCCTGCTGAGAACTGCATTAGAGGTCCAGCTTCTAAACCAAATAGTTTTGGCTGGCAACCAGATCCTTAAGATGCATTTTTCCTGAATGGCTGCTTTAGCTTCAAATCTCAGGGTTCCCCCTTAAGGCACCTGAAGCCAGGCTGTAACTTCTGCTGCAAACACCTAGCCCCTAAACAAGTGCCACCCACAGGTTTCTGTGGCAGAGGCAAGGATCCCTTCATCCTTCTGGGATGTGAAGGTAACATCCACAAAGCACTTAAGGTGGATAATAATATTGTCTAGGATCAGAAACAGGACGATAATTTAAGTGCTTAAAAACATGCAATTTCTAGCAGAGATGGAAATGAGAACTAATTACCTCATTTAGTTTCCAACCATATTCTGAGGAATACCTTTGTGGTCATTCTAAGTGAGATATGCAGACATCTATAATTTTATATCTGTAATTTCTCCTCTGAGTTCACCAGGAACGTGGTGTAATACTATACAAGGACTGTATTATTGCTGAACCTGCAATGACCACAACAAACAGAATTAAATTTATTAAACAGCTTTTGTTATAAACCTTTGGTTTGAGTTACACTGAATTTTACCTTTCAGTCAGAAATTCCCCAGGGTTGCCTTTTTGATTAGTACTACATATGTAAAAAGTTTTTTGAAGTAAGTGACTGAAACAAAATCCTCTCATTTTTGGAATAAAAGGGAAGTAGAAAACCATGCACTTGCCTCAATCACATGTAACAGCCATAGATTCATTTTACACAACTCCTGTGAAGGTAAGAAAAATAAAAAAGAAAAGAAAATCTCTTCAGAGGAGGAAAATCAACATTTAACATGGAGGAAGTTAAATAAAGAATGCCATGCATTTAAAGATTAGTTTAGTTTTATGGAAAAAATGAACACTCATACTTCCTCTGGAACACCATATATCAGGCATGAGATGTACACCTGCTTCCTCTGTCATTCCTCAGGGGAGCAAGGCAGAGCAGAACCCAGTTCCTGCTCCCCCGCTGGCCTCAGGGGCATTTCACCTCTGGCTCTTCTTCACTTTCCCAGGGAACAGCCACCAGAGTACCTTTCAAGAGGACTTCTGGCTTTGCCCAGGCCCTGCTTTGCTTTCCTTTCCTGCAGACAGTCCCATTAGCTAGTGCTGCCATGCAAAAAGAGCACCTCCAAAGACACCTCCGCTGGTAGCAGGTCTCCAGGAAAGAGGGCACCAACAAGCCCTTTCTTATCAGGTCCCCTCATCCAAAGGCGGATTTCCTGGCCTGCTTGCAGCTCTACTGAATGAAGTTGCTAGGGTATTACAGCTTGTCTGGTGGATTTTGTTACTGCAGCCCTTCTCACTGGCATTTGGCTTGAGACTACCAAGTTGCTTCCCAGCAAGAGATTACAAACAAGCCAATACATCAACTCCTCATAATTATTGAAAACAGCAAGCTGTCCAAACTAATGAACTACATAAAAAGGGGGTTTAGTACATTAACAATTCCCTGAACTGCCTACTTAGCTTCTTTTGGTATGCCTCTGCTAATGGAAAAGTAGCACAGCTCACATAACAGTAGGATATTGTTGATTTGTAATGAAGGATGTTGGAATTCTGCCCTGCATAGATGCATATATCTCATTCATGTAAGAAAAATAGTAGCCAATTTACTGCATTGACAAACAAAACTTTTCTTGGTCTACAGAATTGCTTACTATTACATTGGAGAAACCTGAGTGAAACAACATGCATTAACTAGCAGTTAAGAAAAATAATTAATACACTAAAAGCTGAACCTGAATCAAATTTTTTCCTTCAGCTGAGAAATACTTACATGGCCTCTCACAAGCTGTGACTTTCTCCTTGCAGATCCTGCTGTTCAGAGATAATCAGAATTTTACCTACAGCTTTTTGCCCCATCAGAAATTACTGGTTGCTTAAAACAGCAAAATTTTACAGGAATATTCAGTACTGATCCCAGTTTTTATAACAAAAAGAAGGCAAAAGAATTTCCATTAACATTCTTTTGGACAACTCCAGAATGAAGTAAGTTGTTTTTTTCATTTTGAAAAGAATTTTGTATGAGCCTCATTTTAAAAATTTATTTGCAGAATGTTGGCATCTTATTTTGATTGCCACAAAGGATTTCTTTTTCATGAGGGTTATTTTCAGAACTTTCTTTTAAACTTGTAAAATTTGCCACCAAACAGAAAGTCTGATTTCTGCACAGTCACTGTCACTTAGTCTATTTTCTTTGTACAAGGAATCTGTCTCTTGAAGAGCTGAACTGAATTTCAGCCCATGGATGTGAAACACAAAGATGAAGTAAGATTGTATTCATGCACCACTGTATCTGCAAACATTGCATTTATGTGATAATGTGATTACTCTCACATTAGATGCAAACTTCTGTGATTTTAATTTTCTCCCCTTTATTGATAGAGTCCTGCAAAGATGTTATTTGGAGCTGTATCTCATTGCACCGAATTAGTGTGTTAGTTTGTGGCTGTGAGTCATCCCAGTGAGTTAAAATGTTGCTGATTCTGAGAGTGTTCTTAACAATGATAGGAGCCTGCAGGGAAACTTGATGTCCATATAACCCTCTAAGTCAAAGAAATGTACTGGTGCGTACATCTTAACATACTTCTCAGCAACATTTAGAAACAGTACTTGCTCAATAGAATGTTTTTTATTCCTTGATTTGCTAACAGACTAAATGACCTATGAAGAGGATGGTGAAGTCACATAGCTGCAGTACAAGGGGAATCAGCTTCTGTTTGTAGTTATGTCTTCATTTTCTTTCTAGTTTCTTTTACATGTACAGTGATCAGCCTTTAACCAGTTTTTGGTTTCATAAATAAATATATACTCCACTGCATCCTTCTATTTATTTCAAATAGCCAGTGATGAACACATGGTATTAACTGAAAAGACAGACAAATGACAGAGAAAGAAGGTTATATGACAAGTGCCACATGTGGTTTTGTGCTACTGAATGTATCAGGGAGATTGCTATCCGGCTGCATCTGGGCTCTCAAACCTCCAAATTTGGAGACAGATCAAGGTAGTGCTTATTGGAAAAATTAAAGGTGACAGACTTCTGAATTTGCCTTTGTGGACACAGGGAGTGGCCATGGTTCCTGCTGGTCTCTGCAGAGGTAACATTGTCACATACATGCAAGCAACAGGCAATTCTAGCATTTTTTCCCCAAGTATTTGAGGGAAAGTTTGGCTTCAATTTACTATAAAATTTATTCTAGGGAGAAATTTTGACTCATATAGGCTACATATATTGCCATACAAATGTTAACCCTCCCTAACAAACTCAGCCTCACAGTTATTACAGTTGGGTTTACATAGCTAAGAAGAGTGAATCACTGGGTTTGGTTTATGAGCTGACAGGGGAACATCAAAAAACAATGGTGATTTACCTAAATGTCAGACGGTAACGGAGACTGTAATTGCATTGTCAGTTTTAGACAGAATAGGTCACTTCTCCGATTGCACATCTGTTCTGAAATCCTCTAAGTGGTCAGGTAGAACAGCAAGCCTCTTTCTCATAACCTGTCTGTGAGGCTCTCCTTACTGGCATCAGATTTTGCTTGCTCTGGAATCCCCTGTCCCAACGGTGATATTAAAGTAGCTGCTAAATGAGGGACAGAGCCTTTCCATTCACTCATATTATCCATCGCAGATAATTACAATGTTATCTGTAAATGAATAAGGAGGCTTTTATCTTTTTCATTGCTCTTCCAAATGCTGCAATGTCAAAAGCAACATCTGTGACTTTCCTGTATTTACTATTAAATCAGAACAGTAATTTTGCATGACTCAGAAAAAGAAACAGTATAAAAGAGAATATTAAACACATGCATCAGGAATGATAAGAAAGAAAAGAGAGGGAAGTTAAGGAGGATATACATGTCCTAAGTGTTTGAAAGTATATATGCATGGCTTATGGAGCTGTGTGAAATACAGAATATCAAACTCCATAGACCTACAAAACTACAAATACAGATGCTTTCAGCAAGTCCTGAAAAATATTATCTTTGTGAGTCTAGAGCAAATTGAATCAATTTTCATTTTGCAGTACATTGCAAATAATCAATGATGTTTTCCTTGCTGTATGCAATCATTTTATGAATTATGACTCAGACGGTACATTTTCTGCTAACTGATAGTAAAATAAATTCTGTTTTCATGAGAAAGCTTAACATAACATTGTAGGGTTACAGGATATTGCTCAAACCCAGGGTATATTCTGTTATGAATATAATCATCCCCAAACCTCCAAAATTGCTTCACATGGTTATCAAGCAATTACAGGAAAGTTTATTTCTCAGAGAGCAGATCTGGCAAATCTGCTACCTGGCAAATTAACCAAAGTCTTTCTGCAGTGCCCCTTCTAGTCAAACAGAGACACTGAAATCCTGTCACCTGCTGTTGTCCCAGATTATGGTGCGTATTAGCAATTCATAGGTGTCACTTTGCTGTTCTGCCAGTTATAAAAACAAGGGAAAAAAAAACCACAAGTGAGTGTTTCAAGAAGTGAACCAGCTATTTACTACCATAACTGCCCAGTGGCATTCACATCACAGCAAAGAAAACGTGCAAGTAGCCATACCATGACAAAAGCCATGTTTGAGGGCAAAAACATGTTCATCTTGCTCTGCTTGGCCCTGGTTCATGCATGGCCTCTTCATCCTGATTCAAGTGCCTTGCCAGTGCAGGAGCCAGGCCCCATGGCGGCTAAGGCAGAGCAAAGAGGGCTTGGCCAGGGACCAGCCCCATTGTAGCCAGCTCTGGGAAAGGGGCCGTTCCAGGCTATCCTGCCAAAACACAGCAGAGAGGCCCTCCATGAGCAGTGGACAAAGCCTCGTGCTGCTTTAAGGCCGCATGGCACTCTCAGGCCTTGTGACAAAGAGAATATGCAAGTATCCATAACATGAAGACACATGGTGCCTGAATGAGGAGAAAGAACCCTGCACGAGGGGAGGCCCAGGCACCATAGCCCTGGGGCCAACAAGCCCAACACAGGGAAGGGAAGAGTAAATATAGATGAATGAAGCAGCTCTTCTGTCAGAGCTAGTCTGGTTTTCCCCAGCTCCTCCATGCTTGCCCCAGTCAGGCTTTCCCTCTGAGGAAAGCGGAAGTGCCTTGTCAGAGGAAGGTGAATCCCTGCGTCCTCAACCCCTTTGGCTGTCTCTCTGCTTCCTCCCTGCAGAAGCCAGAGAGCAAGAGCAGCCTGGAGCCACTGCTCACTCGCTAGCCCCAGGGTGTTGCCTGCTGGCATGAGGAACCTGCCCTGTCAGTTTCCCACCTACTGGAACATGGGCTCCTCTATCTCCACCAGGAGAAAGGTCTGCACTAACCTGCCATTGGACACTGCCCTCCAGACCACACAGTCTAGGGCGTTGATCACCTCCAGCTGCCTCACCACAGGATGGGGTTGGCAGATTTCAAACTAAGGCTCACTCTGTACTTTTCATAGTTTTATTTTCTTCTGAAATTGAATTAGTGCTGAGAGACTCCAATCCCCCAACATGTCCCCCAGTACCTGGCCTGGCCTTGCTTTTGCCAGCTTCTGGGTGCACTCCTAGTGCTGCTGGTTGGGTGTTTTCTTGCCTGGGGGCTGCCAGCCCTCCTTTTCCGGGGTCACTGGGCCCCTGCATGCAAGTAGTCCCTCCCCTGGCTGGGAGAGGAAGGACCTGCAGCCCTCTTGGGCTGCTCCTGGTGGGGCTCCTCATGGGGTTTCCGCTGAAGGGCCGTGGCTGAGGTGCGGGGGAGCCCACTGACGATGGGACCAGGAGGGCTGGCAGGGGCGCCGGGCTGGAGATGGGAGCACACCCGAGGCGAGGCAGCACGGCGGAGTGTGGCCGCACGGCGGCCTTCCTGCCCTCCGGCAGCCTGGGTATCCTCTAGGTCCAACCATGGGCGAGCCTCCTCGCTGCACCAAAGCCCGACAACGTCAGGCAGGCAGCAGATGAACAAGACTGTGCTGTCCTGCAAGGAGTGCTCTAGCTGCTGGACCAGGACCTCCTCATTCAGCCCAGAGTTGCTGGACACAGTGAGTTCCTCCACCACAGCCCAGTTGTTAGCCCAAACAAACAAACCCACCAAAAATCAACAGAGGAAAATCAAAGGGGAGATACCCCCCCAACCAAGTAATTGAATTGTGTCAGACTGCTGAAGCAGATTGCATGAAAGCATTGCACTGCTCAGCTGGGTGAGGA